GAGAGCCCGCTGGAGCTCTACCGCGTCGAGGTGGAGGTGCTGGACATCAATGACCATGCGCCCACCTTCCCCTGGCAAGAGTATGTGCTGGAGGTGGCCGAATCTGCTGTGCTCGGTGCCCGCTTCCCTCTCGAGAGTGCACAGGATCCTGATGTGGGTACCAACTCGGTGCACACGTACCGGCTCAGCCCCAATGGGTTTTTTTCACTCGAGGTGCAGACACGCAGTGACGCCAGCAAGTTTGCAGAGCTGGTGCTGGAGCGTGCCCTCGACCGCGAGCAGCAACGCGCGCACCAAGTGCTGCTCACCGCTCTCGACGGCGGTGTCCCCGAGCGCTCAGGCACAGCTCACATCCTTGTCACAGTGCTGGACGCGAACGACAACGTGCCTGCCTTTGACCAGCCCTCATACGGCGTGAGCCTTCCTGAGGATGCCCCTGCTGGCACCCTGGTCATCCAGCTCAATGCCACTGACCTGGATGAGGGCCCCAACGGGGAGATCGAGTACTCCTTCAGTGGGCATGCACCACCGCGTGTCCGGGAGCTCTTCCACGTGGAGCCCCGCAGTGGGCAGGTGCTGCTGAAGGGCCCCCTGGACTATGAGCGCGCAAGCCTCCATGAGCTCTACGTGCAAGCCAAGGACCGTGGACCCTCGGCCGTGGCCGTGCACTGCCGGGTGCTTGTGCACCTTCTTGATGTGAATGACAATGCGCCAGAGGTGACCCTCACCTCTGTGTCCACACCTGTGCTGGAGGATGCCCCACCAGGCACCGTCATCGCTGTCATCAGTGTTCTGGACCGGGACTCTGGGGACAACGGGCGTGTGAGCTGTGAGGTTGGTCCTGATGTGCCCTTTGAGCTCCGCTCCTCCTTCCGCAACTACTACACGCTGGTCACCACACAGGCACTGGACCGGGAGGTTGTGCCCGAGTACAACATAAGCATCACAGCACGGGACATGGGCTCACCCGCCCTGCTGACCCGCAGCACCCTCACCATCCCAGTGTCTGATGTGAATGACAATGCCCCACGCTTCCTCCAGCCCTCCTACAGCGTCTACGTGATGGAGAACAACGCGCCAGGTGCCTCGATCTGCTCCGTCAGTGCATTGGACCCTGACTGCCAACAAAACGCCTACCTGTCCTACTCCATTGCTGATGGGCACATCCATGGCATGCCTGTGGGCACCTACGTGTCTATCAACTCAGACAGCGGCCACATGTATGCCCTGCGCTCCCTCGATTACGAGCAGATCCGCAGCTTCCAGATCCAGGTGCAAGCACAGGACGCGGGTTTTCCCCCACTCAGCGCCAATGTCACTGTCCACATCTTTGTGCTGGACCAGAACGACAATGCTCCGGTCATTGTTTCCCCCATGCCGCGTAACGGCTCCGTGGCCACTGAGCTGGTGCCGCGATCAGCCGGGCCTGGCTACCTCGTGGGCACAGTGTCAGCTGTGGATGCAGATGCGGGGCTGAACTCTCGCCTTTCCTACCAGCTCCTCCAGGCCACTGACTTCACCCTCTTCAGCGTGGCACCCGACACGGGTGAGCTGCGCACCCTCCGCTCCTTTCTGGAGCAGGATGCAACCCGGCAGCGGCTGGTGGTGCAGGGGCGTGACGGTGGGCAGCCAGCCCTCTCTGCCACTGTGTCCCTCCTTCTATCGGTGGTGGACACCATGCCTCAGACTCTCTCCGACTTCAGTGAGTTCAGCCTCCCTCCAGAGGCCTCCTCATCTTCCCCACTCACCCTCTACCTCCTTGTCTCCCTGGGCTCCATCTCCTTCACCTTCCTCCTCGCCATCCTCATCCTCACAGCCATTCGGTGCCGCGGAGAGCGACACTCCCGCCAAGGTAATGGCTGGCAC